CATATTATTTGCAAATAGGAAGCAGATTACTTAATTACGATCCGAAATAATTATTTTAAAATGTTATTGTAGATTTTGTATGTTTCTTTTTTCATAAAAAAATATTGTTTAAAAAACACCTGATAGTAATGCACCAACCCAATATTATATTTTGATTACAGAAAGTTCCTTGATGCAGTTTTAACAACATATCTATTTAGTATTGACACCTGATTTGGTGTTGTATATTAAGCATCGATATTTCTTAATATATCTTCATATATATCGATTTATCTCAATATTCTTCAATATATATCTTAGTAGTACACGATGCTGGATGGAAATTCCTAACATTTTCAATTAACTTTCACATATTAAAATTGTAGAAATAAAAATAAATGGAAACGGATTTTCCGCTTACAACATTGCAATGCTTACTTGTTTTTCTGTTGTTATGTTTGTTTTTCCGTTAAGACTAAGCACACCTTGTGTATACGTATTAATGGCAAAGGAAATTGTAGCGTGCATAAATACCGAAGGGAGTTATTTAAAAAGACGATCATTTGCATTTTATTGCAACCAGGCAAGAGTGGAATTGATGTCCCGGGAAATGCCGGGAAAGCCTCGCAACATGGGGGGAACGAGACGAGCGCTGGTGGGAAACATGCTGTTATCTGTCACATAACAAGATACACTCTAATGTGGAAAGCGTCCTATGGCTTTTCATTTCGTAACTAGATAATGAATGTATAAGGACGACCGAATGCAACGTGTGAGAAAGACAGACAAATAAATGAAAAAAATATAAAGATAAAGATCGATGGTTATTTTCCCCCATCGTTCTTCTCTTGTTTCATTTTGCGAAATGTTACCCCTTTCGGTAAATAAAAAAATGTTTTGTTTTTACCTCTCGTTAGGTAGACAAAAAAGGGTAATTCGAGGCATGTAAACATTCTTCGGGCGAGTGCTTCATTTTTTCGGGATGTCCATTGTTTTTATTAAGTGGGCGTAACGCATGGAAGGGACAACAGTCCGTTGTTACTGATAGGCTCTTTACGAGGGGTTTATTAGAAAGATATTACACGAAATGAAAAGGCTAAGATAATAAATAAATTTCGTGCTCGGTCGTTCGTCGAGCATGGAGGGGGGAGGATAGGGGTGCTGCGAGCGTGAATATATCTTTCGGCAAGTTTAAATTAGGGTCCGGGGGTAGGGCAAATGTGTTGCGAATTTATCCTTCAAGGGTTGGAAAACAGCGGAGTGGCCCAACAGGGTGAAATAACACTCGTAATATACGACTAGCATACGGATATTCATGGCATCAATTAAGGTGAAACAAAGGCGCCCTCCCGCCCCCCACGACGTTAACTTTATTGGTGTTAGTGAATCTACGTGTATCTATGTGGGTGGTTGCATGCATGTGTTCTCCGACAGGAGCTGAGGTAGTGATGGTGGTCCCCCTCCTGCTACACAACCATCACCAACGCCGCCGCCCTCCTAGATAGATAATGAATAGACATATATACATACACATGTAGATGCCTGGTGCATACACAAATGTATAATATATAGCCAAAGTGAAGCCCATTTCCTTAGATACCACCTCCAGTGGGTCCTTTCCCTCGTCGACATCCTCGTCGTTCCGAAACTGAATTCCGGTTTCCGGAAACCGTTTGACAACGGATCACGAACGCCATTGTGTGTTTGCATTGCAGCCGAATTCAATAGCCTTTATTAACGCGATAAACTTATTAGCCCCGAAATCGGTGTTTACAGTTCACGCAACTCGCTCGCATTTCCATCCGCCATCTGCGAATTTACCCAAACTCCCTCGAAATATCGTCATCGCATTATCGAATTAACATACATCCATTATACATCGTTTCGAAAAACGAATCACTCGAACATGCACACTGTCCTTAATTGGGTCATTCTCATCCCTTTTACTTTTACATAATCAATTGGAAACTTACCCAAACTGTATATAATAGTATGGAAACCTCAACACATCATGGGATATTCAGAAATCCAAAAATCTGCAAGTAATATACAAATTATTAATTAATTATTTATTTAATCAAAATTAAATATTGGGTCTTTCTACCTTTATTAATTAAATTAATTAATAATAATTATAAACTGGCTGAAATAATGTATTAAAGAAATTATAAATATATATCCATGCGAGGATGCTGAAAATATTTTGTGGGTATTTGAATTACGATGACCTAGACCGACGATGCTTTCCAAAAGACATAAATATTAATTTTATAACCTTCATAATTTGTTTGAGGCAACATTATTATTTAAACTTTTTTTTTACCTCGTAATTTTATTAATGGAAATATAGATTAGTAAAAAAAAGGGCCAAACATATTTTTCACAGATTAAGTGAAAAATAATACAGTAATACCTCGCACAGTCCGGATTCACTATAAATTTTGCACAAGTCTCTTTTTGTGCGGTTTATTTCTATTTTATTTAGTTCCTGGATAAGTATGGAATATTGGCGGAATCACTTATTATGCGAGATATTGCTGTATTATAAATTAAAAATGTGTTCATGTTGTATCAGTGTTGTATCAATCAGCCGTACCAATTTCTTTGTACTAATAATTCAGTTTGATTGTACATTTTTATAATCTAGTGTAATTTCTTTATTTTATATTTATGACATCTCCAAATCAAGTTTCGAAGCAAACATTTTCACATATTTAGTTACTAAAATGTATGCTCAAGCTTTGATTAGATATTATATTCCATATGATCTCATGATATAAACATATATCTGGAAAAAGTCAGGCTGATGTCTCGTCACTAAATTAGGTATAGAATAACAAGAGGAGACATAGCATTGGCTTTCGTCAACTTTACCGTATAATATTTGAAAATTATCGCTAAATATTTTATATCAAAAAAAAAATCTTAAAAAAATATACTTGAGTATTAAAACATATTAAATCAATCACGTTACTAAATATATTGTTTTTTTGTGCAATTTTTTTATGCGGTCCCTATCTACCGAACAAAAAAAGGTTTTACTGTATTTGTCAAAAAATATATTTAAAATATCTATAAACCTAAATATCAACAATTATAATAATTAACATTCTCATATTGAATATCACATCTAATTATGAATTAGCTTTGATAATGATTAGAGCAATTATACTACATAAATGTCCTTTCGACATTCAGAGGTATACATTACACAAAGCGAGACGCACGTCTTTCATTTATCAAACTGAGATTCGGTTTAAATTGAATGCGGTATTTCTGGATCGGTTTGGGCTCTATGGAATTAGAGGGAATGGATCATCAGTTAAGTAACGTTTTAATGTTCGGGACACGGAAACCGTTTCTCTAACCATACCCGCAGAAGGGGAGGAGGTTTGAAGCGCTGGAGAAGGTTGGCAGTCTGTAATTTGATTAGGCTGAAGATGGCCGCAGGCGACGTGAGGTCGCACAACCCGGGGTGCGATCCTCGTTAATCAGAGAAAAGGTCACGTGCTTACCGCAAACACCCAAAATCCAAATAAACTCATTACATAAAAAAAATACATACAGATTTGTTAAATTCATACATATTATTTTAATTAATTCAAAATTAGTACCAAAAATTTGACACATGATATTTTTTTAAAAGTGACATTTCTTAATTATAACCTTTATATAATAATATATTTTTTCTTAAATTATTATGAATGGCGAGTGTTTAATCCTAAGTGTTTTTGTTGTGATAACCGGTCTTGTAAACGAAATATCATCGGTAGAACTAAAAAGTACTATAAAGTTGTTTAAACCAAGAACTTTTGAATGCAACTATGGATCAGAACCGTTACTGGATATAATTCAATCGCATCTTTATAAAAAACATAATGATTACATGAACGTGAAGTATCTGGATTGCTGTTATTCACCAATGGAAGTTAACAATACGCATGTGAATGTTGAGAACAAATGTATTACATTTGATAATTCAATAGAAGTAGATTCTGAGTTTATGAAGGTGCTATGCAGAATCAATTCCAGTGTAATTTATGAAGATTATTTTTGGAAAAAGTCCAGCATAGAAAGTACAAGTAAAAAACCAAAAGTGATGATCATAATTTTGAGTAAATTAAGCAGAAATCGTTTGCACAGGATAATGCCCAATACTGTAAACTACTTGAAACATTACATCAAGGCCACGGAGTTTAATTTCTTACAAGGATACTCTTTTCAAGGAGAAGATAATTTGTTGGAAAATTTGTTTATTGAAAATCTTTGGATTAAGTACAGGACAGCTGGTTATAAATTAGCTTATGGAGAAGATTGCAGCAGGAACATCGGCAGGTTTAAATTCGATTATGATTATACTGCAATGTTCAAATTTTTGGAGCAGAACTCTGGTCACGTGGGAAAAGGTTGTCCTTTGTGTTTGGGCTCGACGAAAACGCACAATGCCCTACTCCAATTTGCTAGGAAATTAATAAATTTTCCAATTCCAATACTAAGCGTAACCAGAATCAACGTCCTGAAAGAATTCCAATTCGGCGTTAAAGATTTAGATTCGGATTTCCTGCAATTCTTCAGCTCGATATTCCGTCGTCTGTCCAAGGACACCGTTCTGATCTTTATGGGCGACGGGAACGTCCTCGAAGGGCTGCGAAATTGGGGTGGCTCAGAGCAAGTGGCCAATTCGGCGCCGTTTCTTTTCGTCTCGCTGCACGACAAAAAGGGCCGCAAATTCCCTTCAGACAACACCGACAACATGATTACGTACGGGGATATTTATGCGACCCTAATTGATTTGCTCGGCCCGGACGCCTCCACTTATTACGCCTATAACGAGCGCCGCAGTTTATTTGCGAGCATCCCAAGGAACAGGACGTGCCTTGAATTGAACATTGACCCGGCCGTTTGCCTCAAATAAACTTCCATTTCATATTTGTTCATACTTTACGAAAAAGAACCAAACTACAATGTAATAAACATAATCATAATCCTAAATATGTGCAGTTCGTATTGAGTATTGGTTTTCAAGCGCTTTTTTGGAATATCAATGAGAATAGAGATTGCTTCTTGCAGAAGCAGGAATCCGGCTCGACGCCGGCTTCGGAACACAGTCTATTGGATGGTACACCTTGAAATAAACTCTGACTCTTCGCATTTTTAGTATGCAAATGCTCCTTCTGATACGGATCCGCAAAATTCCTCAGAGTCCAATAAATATCCTCAAAGGTAACCATGCGAGCTTCACTATTTACCTCAAGAAAGTACCTAACGTCAGGAAATTCTTCCAAGTAATCCTCAGGAACAAGTAAATAATAAAAAGGATTCTCATTATTCGTATCTCCAAAGAAAAATAAAACAGTGTCCCTTTTCAGATGGAAGTAAAGATCCGTCAAGAAATCGAAGAACTGTTCATCAGCAGCGTTCAAATTTTGCTTTCGAAACGTCTCCAAGTGGAAAACACCAAAAGCCGGCTGCGATTTACGCAATTTCAGGAAATCAGAAGCGTATTCCAAGACCAGATCATAAGTTCTTCTGTGGCCTAAACAATGATCATTAATTAAAATGCCTTCTTGCGCGAAATTGTAAAAGTCCCTCAAGTTGAAATCGAATCCATCTAAAGGCCAACTATTTCGGTCCTGAGCGAAAGCGGTCACAAATCCTTTTTTCTTGTAAACTTCCCAAATATCCAAATCGCTTCTCAATGCTTTCGCTACGTTTCCAAAGCTTCTCTGCGGCTGTACATAATTAAATTTATATACCATGAAGTTTTGTTTGATGAACTTATGCGTTTTTGGTAGCGAAGAGTTCATCTGGTTGTTGCTGATTCCTGCCAGGATTAGGACGAGGACATTTAGAGGTTTGGGATTTGGTGATATCCTTTTAACTGCTCTTTTCCCAGAATTAGCGATGAAGTGGAAGTAGTCCATGTAAATCACTTGATGATGACTTAGGCAGCGCACTTTAATATTTTCGTAGTGGATTTTGGTTGATGATTCTAAAATCGAACAATGTCTGTGTGGAGCTGAATGACAGCATGATAACTTGCTCGTATTAAGGTAACTGTATTTGATTTTGAAGATTGAATTGTCCATGGTGCCTACCAGAGGTTGAGAACCAAAGTTGCACTCAAAAGTTGATTCATTTGAGGGTGTAATGCGAAGTCTTTCGGGTATCTTGCAGGGTTTTTCAATCTTGATGAATCCGATTAATACGATCAGAACAAGGATGAAAAAGAAAAAAAGCGATAACCTTGACATAATTACTATTTGACAGAAGATTGACATATTCAAAGCTGACTTAAAACTATCGTTGTTTGTTGCGCTTTCTAGTTTATTGTTTCATATATGTACGTTCGTATAAAAGCTGTAGTCGTGTTTGGCCATGCAAAATAATTAAAATTTGCTTTTGTTTGTATGTGTGGAAACATTCGTTTAATGGAATTTAAGCCATAAGCTTTTACACATTACATGTTGACGACGGACCTCTCTCACCCATTTTCTTCAGTGGCGTTTTTCTCATTAGCCCTGGAGCGCATTTCATTTGCATTTCAAACGTAGCACACATTTCTTTCGCCGCTCGCACAATGCTACACGAAAATGTTACGTAATTCATTTGTAAGTAGAATTGTTTTGCCCGGCATGTTTTTGTTGTTCGGTATATCCACCTACGTCCAGAATAGGTGGGATGAGTGTGACGCGGGATGTACAGTTTCGGGTTATCCCATAAATCTGTTCGATAATGCCTCGGCATGTGAGTCCAGTCCCCCAACGTGGAACGGTGCAAAATCACAAACGCATTCATTCGGACACAATATCAAAATCCATGTAACTGCTCTAGCAATAAATCTAAACTCCGACGGTGCAAATACACACCCACCCATACCCGCACACACACATACCGGTACCCATCCGAACAAACAAAAATATATTTCTCGACTTTAAACACACCCTTCGATCTATCCAGTTCTCTTCATATGCGGGATACACGAATATGGAAACGAAGAGTTCTGCATGACAAGATTGGAATTTATTGCATTCGTGTTTTGGGACACGGAAAATTGAGAGTTCCTTTATTGCAAATCTAGATTTACCGATGGGATACAGATATTTCGACGAAATCCACTACGAATTAGGACAACATAAAATAGATACATCTTTATATAATCCTCTTATATTTATTAAATTTAAATACTTTAAATTTTACCTTATTGAAGCATATATTATTAAATCATAACCAGATAATAATTGACTATATAGATTTAATATAGTATGAATGTAAATACATCTGTAACTGCATCTTCCTGGATGAAGATTGAAATGAAAAAATAAATTTTTACTATTTGATTTAGATCTGATTGAATCAACTAAGTGTATATTCTAATATATTATATAAATATTTATTTGATAACTTAATAAGTTTTCCTTAAAGATAAATATATCATGATAGTTCATTTAGTAACTATGGCAACTACTTCTATGCTATCTGTTATTCAAATATGCGTTTTGGTATAGAAACTATAGGGGATCCAGTAGCAAAAAAAGACAGTTGACTTAGTAAAATTTGTCATCTACAATTTAGATTAAAATAAATTGCTACCATTTCTTTTACTAAGGATTTTAAGGTTTTCCTGAAAGTTATCATTATTTAAATTAACATTATAAATGACATATGTTGCTATCGTTATATTAGCTTAGTTGATTAACACAAGTTATAATACATTCTCTAGGCACTTTTTTAGTGAAATTCTAATATATTTGAAAGTTAACGAGCAATGCTATTGTTCGCGTTTCCGTGTAATGCGGAAGTCGGGCACTTTTCCGGTTTGTGTGTTTAATTCGGTTGTTGGTCTTAGTGCAAGTTAAACGTCGGCTTGTTTGGGCTGCAAAGGGGGTTGTGTATGCAAGCATAAATTTACCGAGGGGAGGTTTGGGCTTAGTCTGACTGAGCGCGGGAGTCTAATAATTAATACATTCTGTTTTGTGTGTCAATAACTAACTAGTTTACACGGCGAGTTGTATTGTATCGAGTACATATGTATATGCATAGCCGAGAACCACCCTTACCTCTCTCCATCAAAACGCCACAACCCACCACACCCTTTTCGGAGAGATTTGTGTATTTGTGACGAAATACGTGTACGTAGAACGTATTTTGTTTGACCATCGAAGCTATAACCCAGTTATAATTCAATTCGGCGTTTCCAATTGTTTTCGCTAATTTCACTAACAATTACTGCAATTTATATAACGCCAATCAAACGAAACTCACCAATCCACGAGTCGATCAAATCTCGTCTGAATTTTCCAATAACTACATGTATTATTGGAAAATTCAGACGAGGTTTGATCGACTCGGTATGGGCGGTATTTGCATATAATACACATTCTCAAAACACATGCACGTGACATTAAAGCAAACTACGACCATTAAATATATAGATGGCGCCAAATCAAACGATTATATTATAAGAAACAACTGTACATACATTTAAATAAAAATATTCATTTTGTGAAGAAATGTTTCCATTGTGTAGATTCGACATAAACTAATTGTATGAAAGGAGGTGAAAGACTTTAGAAAGAATTAACTAAAATTATAGTATTTATTTTTCAGACAATTAAATTTATACCAAATTTATGAAACAAAACATTTTTAGATAATTTAGAATCCTTAACTTTCATTTATTATTGACATTTAAAAAAAATGTATAGTTTGGGCTAGAAGTAGTAATATGAACTAGTTACTATCAATAAATTGATGTAATAGAATGTTATTAACATTGAACAATTGAAGAGTCAAAGAAAGTAATTCGAGGAAATTTTGTATACAAATTAGAATATATTTTACCAATTGGTAAACAGTAGTCGTAAATAATTGTAAAGCTTAATGACGGAATGTAAACCAACCGGATCCGCATTGTTTTTTATTTGCATCACAATATACTTTTATCCGAGATAGAAAAAGTTTCTGGTTCGTTTCCATTAAGGGTGGAATGAAAGGGAGAATTGAGAGAGAGAGAGAAGCAGAGATGTAAAGTCGTCCGGCGTCGAGACGCGCGCGGATTAAATGGGGGTAGGAAATGGAATGGAATGGAAATTAATTGCGAAATTGCTCAACTCACGAAACATAACAACAGAACTTCAGAAATTAAGGAAACTGAAATAAAATACGAACTTGCCGAGAATAAGATTATTATATTGGAAATAAATTTCTATACATATTTCGAAGCCTATTCGTCCGCGATTATTTTAGTTTATTCCTCCTGTTCTTACTTAAGCAAATCTGACTACATTCCGCGCAAACATTTCGCCAGAGGCGGTATTTTCATGATGGTAATTACGCTTCGGCAAAAGTTCGCTTCAACCCCTACTCGAATTCTGCATTTAATTAAAAATTGAAAGTTTTCGATTCCATTTTTGTTCTTGACTGCTTCTCTCGTCCACGAGATCCTCTCGCAAAGAGCAATAGGATAGAGAGAGAGAGATTGGAGAGAAAGAACGGGAGGTCGCGCGAAAGCGAGTTTTAATTAAAGCTGATTCAAATTGTAGTTCTGAAGTGTGTTGCGAGCAAAATTTTCCGGTGTTAATTTTCGTATTTCAATTAATTTACTTTAAATTAATTGACTTAACACAAGTGGAACCACTTTCAAATTCCCATTATTTCAGAAGACCTTTCACCAAAGCAAGTTTATAACTCCTGAAATGTTGACCTTATACTTTTCGTTGACCAACTAATATTTTATAAAATCAGCAACATATTCGTTGAAACGTGTTTTTTTATTGCTTATTATATATTATTATTATTATTATTTTCATTTAATAATTGTACATAAATAATATTTATTATGACAAGGTTTAAATAAACAATCGTATAGTTCAATAATTGTGTTAACTAAATCCTTCAAAATGAGATTAACTTAGAATACAACATCATAAAGCAATTTAAAGTTAATAAAGAGAATTATCATTAATTTATTAACACTTTGCGGACCGTCAAATTTGACCTTTTCAACTACAGTCATACCTAGGTATGACTGTAAAAGATTCGATATAACAAAGCAATTGCAAAGAATCCGAAAACAATATTAAAGAAGTACCTGCCAAAAATGTTAACAATCAAATATTTGAAAAAGTGCTTAAATGACATTAGAACATTATTCCCATATTCAAGAAATAGTATTTTTACCTAGATTAACAAAATAATTTCGTGGAACGTTTCCAATTCATTAATAGAGGTATGACTGTACTTTTAAATAAACTAAGTTCATATATCACAGAATATTTATTAATGGTATGGTTTGCGCTGACCAACTGATTAAATTGGCAATGTGTCACTTCAACCGCGCTTCTTTTCGCTTCCTTTATTTATATAATTAGGTGTGGAATTGATGGGATTCTTGAAAGGAAAATTTCGTTTCCTCCACAAATCAAACTTTATTTCTCGAGTGAGCTTTCTTTCTTTTCTACTTTTCTTTTCCAACCCCTCGATTCTTATTCCAGATTCAATGCCTTCTGCCGTGATTTATAACTTCCTTACTCCCTCAACGGCTGAGAGGAATAAAAAGGAAAGTTTTTCGAAAGCACATCCATCTGAAAACCGCACAAATATCGCCCTTTAATCTTCGCTTCCCGTGTAACAATTAGCTAATATTTATAGGAGGTATAGTTTATATGCATATGTTTCTGTGTATGCATGTGTGCGGCTAGTGCAATTAGAAGTACGCTGATGGTAAAGTGAGCATCCAATTACAAACCGACCGTTGGCTATTTCGGTCTGACCGCAAACCAAACACTACTGGCCCCTCTCTCCGACTCTTGAATATCTCTAAGATTATCGATCCATCTGCATGCAGACTCTCCTGCGAAACATACTAGGACCGCTCGGCAGTTACCATACTCACTATCTCTCTCCCTCTGCCCATGCAGAATGGTCCCCACTGCCGGCAATTAATTAATTAACTAATTAATTTTCTGCTTCCAAGCCTTGAATAATCACACCTGCATGTGGGTACTGTAGAGATTACGTAAACGGAAAATGTATTTCGAAATATATTATCTATACACTGATCAATATTATAATGTCCATAATGTCC